CTCCTAGGTGGGACCAAAATAAAATCTAAAAGGCAGCAAATACGTTCTTATCTATTTCTTCCAGGCTGCTAAAACTTTAAGCGAATTCCTGGCCGTTGAAGCAATGAGCGCCATCGCTCAATGTCTAAGTAAGTAGCTAAATCTAAATTCCTGAGTCGAGGCTCCTAGATTGCAAAATGTCTGATGTACCCAATTTATAACAAGACGTAAACTAATGGCGTTTTCATAAAATCAAATTCTTACATTGGAGACAGACATTTAATTTTAGATTGAAAATGTTAAGGCATAGTTAATAATATTTTATTTATAATTCTCCCAATATGCTCGTATAAAAATAAATATGGATCTCAAAACTAAAGATTAGCTCAATTGTGTATACTGATAGCGAACAGCCGGGCACACGGAACAGAGATGGAGATTCGTTCCTGACGCAGCCTCAGCACGTCATGGTATTGTTGTAGTCCCACCCACCCAGTGTCGGTCCGTTACGTATTTGGATGGATTACGTGCACGAGCGGAGGCGGTCGTCTGCAGCCGACCTCACTATTTGACTACGAGCATGTGCACGAGCAGCACGTGCGGGCTCGTCGCGGGTCTCACTCGATATTTTCATAAAAATTAATACCGTGAATTAGTCGCGGCGAACTAAAACGGGTAAAACGTCCGGTGAACACAAACCGACGGACGATTTCCGCGACCCAGGAATAACATCGCATAATAAAGTGAAAACAGCAAAATTCATAAATTTGCGTAACTACACCTGAATGGCGTACTGAACTATAGTTACCATTTGCTCCTAGATCCTCTTGGACAATAGTGAGGGCGATCGCTGGTCGCTGGTCCCTCGCGCCGCGGACGATGCTTCAAAGCCTCTGGTACTAATAAACGAGTGACACTAATTGGCGGCACTAACCGGCTGCGCGCCTCCTCGATAATGACAATCCACAAAATGTATATTCCATTTTTCATAAAGAGCACGGCACAGACTTTGCCTTCACAGAAGCCTTCTTTCTATGAAGTAATATTTCATTAAGATTCTCTGATACTTCTTAGACGTAATTCAATTGGTATTAGTGATATTATAATTCTATTCTATTAGAATTTCATTTAATTAAGCGAATGATCACTATACTCGTATATAACTATAAATCTATATATATAAAAGAAAGTCGTGTTATTTATAACTCAAGAACGGCTGAACTGATTTGGCTGAAAATTGGTGAGGAGGTAGCTTAGAATCAGGAGAAGGACATAGGATACTTTATTAGGATACTTTATCACGTTCCCATGGGACGTAACATAAAACGTGGCATAGCAAAACGCAACTGATATGGAATAACAAAACGCAACTGACAGCTAAACATAATATATTCTATGGTTAATTATAGTAGAATTTTGAAGTTGACCGGTTGATGTGTTTGAAACAAACCGTGTGACGGAACAAAGTTCGCTGGGTCGACTAGTGTGTAATAAAAAAGAGCACACAGACTTTGCTTTCACAGAAGCCTTCTTCCTATGAAGAAGAATATTATTACAATTTTTTTTTTATTTGAAAAATTTAATTGGAATTTAATGACGTTAATGTAACTCTTACTAGTAAGGCCGTGGACGTGTCCCGCTGGTAGTACAGACAGGACAACATGGATAGCGCATCCCTTTCAGTGAAAATTGATAGAAAAGTCTCAATTGTTTAAATCAAGCGCAACGGGAACTTTTGTTAGTTATAATATATTAGTGGATCGCGGGAAGAACGAGCAGGACAGCTTGATATCTTGTCGTCGCAGACCGAAGCACCGCCAGGCGGACCGGCTCATCTCGATGTAAGTTATTTTTGTGAAACGATCAATCTCAGTAAAGAGCACACGTTCTCAACACAAGACAAAAATGTAACACGTTATGAACACAACTGTGTGAAGAGTGAAAAGTAACCAAGTTTATAAAGTAATTCCGATCCGACCAGTAGTCGGTTCACGTTATCCTTATCAAATCACGGATGAGAGAGTAACAGAACTGTAAGTGAACACAACTAATAGGGAAGGGCGCGCTCGAGACGTCGCCGCGTCGCCGCGTCGCATGCGATGTTCTGTGTAAAGATGTTAACTCGAAACGGAACTAGACAATAAAACAGACGACACACGGATGTTGCTGTATCGTTCACTTTGTATTGTTGCTCTCGCTCGGGGCGTGAGGCTCTAAGAAACCTTGTTGTCCCGTTTCCAACCACAAAGGAAATATATTCCATCGAACGGATAAGAGAGGGGGCGGTTTTTCTTGAAGACATTTCAGAAACTATAAATTGGTTATGAACGTTGGTGTTTTAAGGTTTTGGATTGAATAAGGTATACGTGGTGATGCAAACCGAGCGAGTACACAACGTGATCTGCAGCCGATAAACAATGAGACTAACTCGCTGGAATTCAACGACGATAACAGCATTAAGCATCGGGTTTCAGCGAGTATTGCCCGTAATTGGACTAATAAAGTTCGCACTGTTCCGCTAATAGACTGAGATAACTCGATTTCAGTGTTCAAAGGAACCGTTGGAATCTATTCCTGAAGTGCACCGCCGTCGTTTGTCCTGCTTAAACTCTCTTTAACGTCACAGTAGACGCTTTTTATTATTTTAATGATACAAATGTCCGTTGGAACTGTTTTATACCCCGGATCGAATATTTAAGACAAGTAAGGCCTCCATCGCTAACTGCCTATGAATGGACGGGTACCGGGAGCATGGAAGCAGTGGCCTAGCCATCTCGTAGCTAGCGTATTGCGTGAATGATTATCTCGCTGTCATTAATGGAGTTTACTTTTACACCGTTAGATCTTAGAAGTGAACTCATGTAACATTAGGTACTATAAGATTACATAGTTTGTCTCTGTGTTAGGTTTTCACGGCCAAAACACTGGTCGAAGCGGATTGATCAGCGGCGAATGAAGTTTATTGTTTCACCATATACATCAATTGACTCGTGGGCCAAATGACGTTCCGAAGCACTCCTCCCAGCTGACAGTCAACTGTATAGAAATACGAAGTCGAGTGAAGTGCTGGTGGACACTTCAAAATTGTGATTGAGGAAACAATAATCGCGTAGATTAGTTATAACAGAAATTCCAACCCCCAAGTACCATATCGGCTGAAGAGGTAATCACTTGTGGTCGGCAGCGTCGTTCCGTCGCTCCAGGCCGTCGATATTTCAATCATTTTGGGACACTTACCTGTCTTTTGTTACGGGATTGTGGTTTGGAAATTTGGATCAGAAATTTGAATTGGTGGTTAATGTATTAAATGCTTGTCGAACGCAGTGGATCGTTGAGGTTGGAGTTTCAAATATGTGACCAGTTGGTCCCCTAACCCCTTCTTAGAGAGCACACGGTGAAGAAGGTCTCATTACTCAGAGTTGCAGACAGACAACTACATATATCTATAGTCTATACATATAAATAAAATTGGAGTGTCTGTTTGTAATATTGAAATAACCGTTTTTTACTACATTCAAATGAATATAGGTATACGTTACATACACCAAAATAATTTAATAATAAATAAATAATCTCGAATATTACTATGGTTCCATGGTGCGGAGTTGTACGAGTGCGAGTCCCGTAGTGGTATGGTAAAGTGGATATTATAGGATCAGCTCAAACAAAAAGGATCTCTATAGACAATACCCATTATCCGATTTACTAGCCAGCTCAGTGTGACATCATCGTTCATGACATTATCTAAAACTCAGAAGCTGTGGCACCACTGGACTGTGCACTCCAGCGGCACTCCAAGCAACGGTCACCAAGCTCATCGAGCTCGTCAAATGGGAGAGTCAAGAGTTCGACGTGCGAACTAGCCCAAGCCCATAGACACAGCCCACTGAGTTTTTCGACGGATCTTCTTTGTGGGCCGCGCTTCCGATCCGGTGGTAGATTTAACGAAGCACTGCTCTTGCTAGAGCTAGTGTTAGCAAGTCCTCCCGCATCGACCCCGAGAGCTGGGTACCGGTTCGCGCGTATTTGGAATAGCACCCCGGGCTACCAACGATTACATAGGAAAAAAAGGAAAGGAATTTCTATAGGGATTCCACAACCGATATCAACTAAATATATCCCAACACTCGAAAACATTTTCGATTCACAATGTTATTATATTACGAAGCAAAACAGACATGGAAATGCTAACGAAAAATTTATCAAAAAAACGGAATATTTATATAACAATTCGTCAATTGTATTTGCTCTGGTTTTTTTTTCCTACCTATGCTGATAGCCGTGAGAAGCTATATAAGTTTCGCCCTAACATGTAAGTGAGCTCACGGGGCTCAAACCGGAGTGGTGCTAACACTGACCCTAGCAAGAGCAGTGCTTCGCAGAATCTATCACCGGATCGGAAGCGTGCCCCACTGAGAAGATCCGGCGAGAAACTCAGTGGGCTATGTCTGTGGGTTAATTCGCTCGTCGAGCCCTTCGTCGCAAGCGACGGGTTCGGCGAGGACGATGACCGGTGAGCTTTTTCTTATTTGCGCGAAGAAAGTATACACTTACATACTTGATAAAACACATATTTACATACTTCTGCAGATTTTTCGTAGTCCAATCAGGTCGATAAATGGACCTTGCGACTTTATGCATCCTCATCCAAATAAGAGATCTATATAGTTTTTGTGGACATTTATAAATTTTACTCAACAGAAAAGATTTAAATACAGCACAGTTACTTTGTAAATGAGCTGTTAGTTTTCATAAGAATAATTGCACGAAAAACAAAACTGAATAAAATTTAATTGAAGATTATGTTATTATTAATACGCGAACAGTGCGAATGGAAATACGGGACTAAAACATAGGTAGGTTGAAAGTTTCCTTAGAGCAAAAAATAACATAATCAAATGTACACACTTGACTTCATTGTTTAGATTTATGAAATTTTAACCACAAGTTATTATATTAATTTATGACCAAACTTCTCCTAACACGAGCATATTATATTGTATAGACAAATAAAGACTCACCTCAGAAATCCAAAAAAAATCACAAAGAATCACAAATAATATTTCACGATAGAATATCTTGAACACACAAAGTCCCGATCTCTAAAGTTACAGTGGCACAAGCGACACGTACTCCCTCTACCGACAGCGGGAGCGCACTGAGCTCAGAGCTGAGTAGCTGAGTCGCAGCGGCCCGCCCGGACCGTCCGCTGTCGTGCTCTCAGATCACACAGCTCCTAGAGAAAACACATTACCTACATGGCCTTTTTACTCATGGAAAATACGAGTCCAAATATGTATTATCTATTGACAGTTGCATAAACAATTGTGAAACCCACGTCTTGAAAACGATGCATTTAACTGGTTCCCATACTGGCTTCAGCGCCCTCGTTCTAAGCGCTGTAACGATAAAGTTTGTAATGTAGCCACTGAAACACGTTTAAAGAGTTATAGTTTGTTTAAGAATACATTTACAAATGTCGTGTGAGCGATACTGTATATACATTGTTCCTTCGTGTAGGCTCACCTCCCCAGGGACGGGAGCACGCTCCCTGCGATGGAATGAACTGAAAGGCACTACTGCTGTAATTAAACTAGTTACGTATCTTCGAAACTTTAAAGTAGAGTATCCGGCTTGAGAGCGTGAACTGCCTGTCAGTCAAGCAGTCGCGAGACTACCTTGCACGAATCGATTTTGTGCCGTCTTGAAGATCGGTCGTGAAAACTAACACAAATAACATGAATACAGAACAGTCCGTACCCAGGGAGACCGGCCTGTGCAGGGAACAAGTGGACAAGTGAAGCAGTACAGAGGTACGACGGGGGCGCGTCTACTAGTGCACTGGTACTGACTCACCTCATATTGATTTCAATAAAATAGTTTGATCAGTTTGATCAGGAATGCTGTTACTGACTCCGGCGAGATGAACATATTCAAATCGTGAATCAAATTAATATAACGCTCCCTTAGTAGTGCTGTTCCGTGCTGACCTCGTCAGGACCTGTGAATCCTGTCTGGAGCACAGGTTATAGCTCCAATGAATGAATAAGTAATAAGTAAATCATGCTGACAGACGCAATCAGTGCAAGCTGATAAATAGATGGAAACCTACTAACAGCTATACATATGCACGAGTATGTACTCGCATAAAGCGATGAAGTCGAACGTTATCTAAGTAGTTGTTCTCGAGTTTAGTAAGTAGTAAAGTTTAAATTATCATCATTACAATGGTGGAGACATGCGTCGCTAACCTTATCAGAACTTAGACAAACTTACTTTTACTTTTGAAGAGTGCTCACGCCGACTCCCGGTAGATCCGGAGGCTTCAAGACGTCCAGGCTAACGTCTCACTTATCAATTAAATAATTAGGTGTCTAGTTTTAGATTAAGGTACATAACCTAAGGATAACCTTATGTAGTTTTAGTATAAACTACAAGTACATACTGGCTGGTAGGTGAGCACAGGGGCTGAAACTGAGAGATTTGCTAACAATAGCCCTGGTAAGGGCAGTGCTTTGTAGAATCTACCACCGGATCACAATCGCGACCCGCCAGTTGCGTCTATGAGCCAGTTCAACGTCGAAGTCTTCGTCGTAAACGAATTTGACGAGGGCGGTGGCCGCTGCTTGAAGAGCCTAAAAGCACCGAGACTGGATCCTGCGACACATACGCAAACACACACACACAAGCACACATACGTACAAAGCTCATAAGACACATGAGCATGAGCAATGGAGTTAAACTAAAGTTTGTGAGTGGTTCCGCAATGCGACAGAAATGACGAGTAATCTATAAAACTAGCGCCTCAACTGGCCGTAAAGAGACGTGGCTGGGCTCCAAACTCCGCTGCTCATGGCTCCTCCAGGACGTAGCGCACTACACACTAAGGATCTTACCACTATTAACTTAATGATCGAATTCGCTTGCCAACTCAAAAGGGTAAACTTCATATTTTGATAAATAGGAAAAATAGTTTGACTAATACTATCAACTCGTCCCGTGTTCTTTATTGGTGTATTTATGATGTATAACTTACTGTATTACAGTGGACGAGAACCGAACTCGCTCCTTCGTATTAAAGAGTAATTTTAACTAAAAGAGTTTATAGGTGAATATAGGCACCTCGTTCTGGATTTAAAGTCACTATGTGTGTAGCAGTTCACGTGAGGCAGCGTGAGCGCCTCCGCGCACACTCACACGTTGCGCCGAAGCCTCAATTGTATTAGAGTAGCCGTTGCCTTACCTTTCGAATCAATACCTATTACAATGAAACTATTATTATTATTTTTCTATAACTATTATTATAGAAACCTATTATTTGTAGATATGGAAAGTTTCTCAAGCTTAGAAAAGTTAGAAAGACATTAACAATGTCAATGAACGAAACATATTCCGAAAACTGAACAAATTTTTATCAAATAAAACTTAGGTTTCTTGTTTAGTAAGCGCGGTTAATTGAAGGCAGTAATGGCGTTCGCTTGGCGAGACTATAAATCCATCTCGTTTTTCCATATAGTACGTGACTGGTCGCGTCGCGGAGGGCCGCCCGCCCGGCCGTATGCTAAACGCGTGTTCGTTGCTTTAAATATGACGTGTGCTCTGTTGGTGCCGCGCACACTATCAGCACGAACATTCAACGAGTGGATCTCACACAAATAGTGGCTAATTGTTTACGTACTACTTACTGGTGTAGGAGCCGCCCTACTAGGGTAGACAGACGACTCCTCGCACTGATGCCGCGAAAACTAATGATAGTAATTTAGTAATAAACTAGCAGGCCCGGCCACACGTTGCTCTGGCTAAGGTTTTTGTTTCTAAATAGCACGTGGTCTATAACACTATGCTAATACCAAAAATGAACAAAATAAGAACAATTGGATTTCACTGTATTGCGTTTACTACGAAATAAATTTCACTTATACTTTAGCCTCAGCAGCACGTGGTGTTTATGCCATTTAATTGTAGCTTATGTGAAACGTTGGTATTTTTATCATAACGCCATCTATGAGATATCTATCAATGTGACGCCGGATCTTCTCAGTGGGTCGCGATTCCGATCCGGTAGTAGATTCATTCGCGAAGCAATTGCTCTTGAGTTGTTAGGTCTCCTTCGGAGGCGCTCGGGCAGTTGTTAGCAAATCCCACCCCTCCTGGCTGAGCCTTTGCTCGCCCACCTGTCCTGGTGAAGCTGGAAAGGCCTCCGGGCCAACAGTAATCTTTCAATCACAAAAAAAAAAAAAAAAAAGAAACTATCAATGTCAACCAGTATTACAATTATCAATTAAAACTGATTTAAGGCCCCATCTGTTTCAGACTTATGAAACTTACAATTAATAACAATAATCAACTTATTTTATTGTTAATTAATAAATATTGCGACCATTAATCGAAATAAAAATCATCCTATGGCCTAAGTTGGAACAAAACAAATATAAAAAAAAAAGTTATAATCGGTTCAGTAGTTTAGGTGGCCATCGCGGACAAATAACGTGACACGTAATTTATATATATTAAGATAGTGATAGCAAATAATATAATTAGAAGACGGTAAGTAAATAATTAAATTTAGTCAAGGCTCGAATACAAACTTACCTTGTTTCTTGCCGACAGTGCATAGCTACAGATGTTATAAGCATTATTAAGATAAAATTTCGATTTTTTATAATTTCCCTTAAAATGACGTCTAAAGCGATAGATTAATTAATACCGATAGTAGATATTCAAAACAATGGAAAAGCGTAAGTGATTGAGCTTAATTTAGAGAAGTACATCGTACCGCTTATTCACTTCACTAAATTGAATTTCATTAGAAAGTAATCAGACGAAATGCATGTTTGGTCGGGAATAACCCAGCCCGCCAGTGTTGCCTGAATATATTGCTTTCTCCCCGCCACTAAATATTAATATAGATAACAGAGCATTGTGCAAATTAGTCAGTTTTTAAATTTAGTTAATAACAGCATAGATTGTGATGCAGGAATTCATATCACAATAAATTGAATTCATCTCTAATCTACAAACGTCTATACAGAGTATTAGTCTAGCCAACAAGTTTAAAAACGTGAAAATACAGATAAAGGTCCTAAAAATATGAGCGATGGCTCATTGGATCCGGAATCTCCTCTAAAAAAATGTTTTTGAAGGATTTTGGTGCAGGTAAAAAATTGCAATTGTTATTAACAAAATAAGATTAAAAAAAAATGATATTTAGTTTTTCGTTAATAACTCAAAAATATTAATATTTGAGGAATTTTGAAGAAAACTCGTTAAAGAGGAGAAAATTTCCAATAAAAAAGTCCGTACTCCCTGTCTGTAGGAACTTTATCTATGTATATTATGTATAATTGTAATTTGACGTGAAAATAGGGCTCCGCGCGGCATGCGCGCGCCAACGCTAAAAAGAGTTCATCAGATAAAATAAAATTTTTATAACGTAAAATGACATTTTCAAAATTTGGAAAATTTCTATCTATCTTTATAACGGTTATAGGATTCTTCAGACCCTTTAAAAACGTTTAAAGTACGAGTCCTAATGCATGAATTATATCTACAGGCGAGACGGATGTGCCGCTCCTCACCGGTCCGGTTAGAAGTTCGATCCCGCAGACGCAGACAGAATGTATCGATGGATGTACTAATGAAATATGTACTTAGTTCATGTTCACGAGCTACTTCCATAATCAAATCGCAATGAATGACATCATGTAATGAAACATAAACCAGTAAAAATTTGAATTTGCATAATTAGCATTCAATTGAAACATAATATACAGTAACAGTGCGACAGTAAGCACGTTGTAATGTCTGTTAGCTCTAGCGACCACTTAACACCAGATGGGCTCTGAGATCGTTCACCAATCTAATTAATTAAATGCAAAAACCCACACAGAAATTGTAATACAGGCTTTAAGCCAGGGGGCTTCAAACAGCGGTCCCATAATTCTTAGATTTTCTTAACAACGTTTGAGTCTCCAGCTTGAAACTTTTAATTAAATATGAAAACTTAACAAACAAAGCTACCTGTAGATTCACAAACACTTCAAAGAACAGTGGGGACAGTGACTCGGCGTTGTCGGCCTTCGAGTGTCAAACAATAAACGCACAAGAGAGGTGCAAACAGACGTTTAGGGTTATTAC